GGGACCGAGTTAATCTAATTGGGTTTGGTTAAACAAATTTATTACATGACATTTGAGGATATGTAGTGCATAATTTTATATGTACTCAAGGAAAGAAGTATATATTTGGTTGGGGCTCGACAACACCGGTAGTGAGATGTGTGTGAAGGTAATATATAAATTTATGAGCTACTACTGATAAAAATGCAATTTTTAAGTGAACCATAGACAAAGACATATTAAGTATTGGGCAACTGAAGATAAACTAAGACAGGTTGGCATAGTTTGTTTTACGAATGGGTGACCATGGCTTATGTAGGACAACTGTTGGTATGGTGTGGTTTAGTGCAAATTTAGACTGGACCTTGCATTTAATGCGATACTGTTCCCATTTGAAGTGTCGTACATTTTTTCTGGGTCTTCTTGTTAGTGTCAAGTTGTGCAGCGTATGGCGATTTTATGGCTAGTGTTGTTGAAGGTCAACAAGTTATATGTATTGGGGTGAGTGCGAACTGGAGTGAGGATTCAATAATGTAGGTCTTTATCTGTTGGTTTAAGTATAGAGCTTTGTGTTCTGGTGAGAGGTTGTAACAAGAGAGTGGTACATATTGGTTGAAGGAATGCTGTTTGTCTAATTGTGATTTATATACTTGTTCGGTGATTTGCTGTCGAATTATCATCAATTGACTGGGGAGAGATAAATATGGGACGGATTATGGATGTTTATTTGGTATGTCCTATTTGTTAGTCTTTCGGATCACAAGCGTTTTGGGGTAATTGGAAAAGGAGATTGGACTAGTTTCTCTCTATGCAGCATGGCTGTTCCAATGCGATATGTATGTGTTCTTTTGCGCATATTGCTCATCATTTGTTGTCCTAATTGATTTAAAAAGTGGATTCTGGTGTTTGATATTTTCTCTAGAATGGTTCTAATTGTCTGAACTTGAGACATTTTGCTTTTTGGACTAATTTACTGTGCAACACAATCAAATTTATGATATTTGAGTTTTAACTTTCTGATTCAAATGATTTGGCAAGAGTGGTGGTTTTTATGGAAGCCAGGTAAAATTGTTGTTCTCCATTCTTAATAGGAACACATTATCTTTTTCGATTCTATCATTTGCAAGGTGCTTGTTGGGTTATTTGGTGGGGCAGGCCTGATATAGCAAGTGCAAGGAGACATTGTCAAGAATAGGCAAGACATGATATACTGGTGTTTGTATGCGTTGTTTCTGTGTATCTCGTTTAGAGATAATTAGTGGGAAGAGTTTGTTCGGAAGTCTTATTGTCTGATGATGGTAAAGGTTCTGCTCTGGTATGTATGAAGCTATTTTTATTTGGCTACTTATAACTTCCCGGCTCTATTTTTGCGGCGGGGCATGCTGCTTTTATTGGTCTTTTTGTGGTGTTTAGTTGGAGCATGTGACGTTTGGTAGGTTGGCCATGTTTGTTAGTGTGTGCTTGGCGCTTTCTGTTTGGAGAAATGATTTCTGTGCGGAGTCTGGACAGGTTCTCCCATCCGGATTTGTTGCATATTTGCCTCTTCCATTAAGAAAATTTTGATTTAATGTTGGATGCATCCATAAGTCAATGAAAATGGAGCAACCTATCTGTGCGTAGGTCAAAAATTAGACAGGGTTTATGGAGAAGCATTATACTGCGAAGGCTATTGAGCATAATCAGTGCTAGCCACCGCTAGTAAAACTAAAGTACTACAACAATGAGCCACTTAATTGTTGATGGGTTGAATTTGCCATTTGATTTTATTCAAACATTTTTAATTATGCACGCTCATTAGATTATAAATGAATATTCAAAAACGGTCGCTTCGTATAATTCTGGTAATTATCTCCTAAATTATCAATACTTGTATATTAAATTCTAGCATTGTCTTACGTTTATATTTTATGTGGTGTGGTGGTTTGGGACTTGGATATCGACTTCGTTTATTTATGTGCAGTTTTTGGTGGGGTCTCAAGATGATATTAGGTCTAATCTTCAATACTCATCATCTAGCTTCCCACGAGAAGTCCAGAAAGCATCCCATTGTGATCAGTGATGCCATTCTATGGTTGGGTGTGTTCAGCTACTATGAATCTAAATTTTTGCTTGGGGATGCTTCGTGAACATTATGTTATTTGGATTATAAGGATGTTCAGGAGTCTCTAACCGTTCTCAGTATTGCTCTCTCTTTGTTGTTTGTATTCAATAGGATGAATATGACGGCTTAACACCTTAATTCAATTTATTGGAGTGTTCAAAACTCGGGTGTACCCCCTTCCTTGAAATCAATGTAATTTTGGGTGGCGAGTATTCATCTACCATCCGGTCTAATATCTATTTTGTGGTGTTCGTCAGGTGATGGTTAAGGTAGCTCGGATTCTGCACATCTTTCGGAGGGAAGTATCCAAATTTTTTGAAGAAATATGTGATTCGTGTAGACTAGCCATGCCAGCTTAGCTTTGAGGAGGTTTGTGAAAGGGAAAAAATTGTTTGCCCTTTGATGGAAGGGAAACATGGATCGATTTAGTTCACGAAGTGCGTTAGGGATTCTATGGTTTAGATTATTGATGTGTCATATCGTGTGTAATGGATATGTGGAGGCAGTTAATTTTGGTTTGTTGTCTTCGGTTGAGCCGAGGGCTGAAATTTGGTGACTAGTTGTGCGAAATCAGCTAAGGGTGGTGTTCTAAGTTGACTATACGTATTTCTAAGTTCTAGATTTTGTGTTAGTGGCATAGAGTGACGTCTTCTTCAGTTTCTTTATGTGATGTATCTTGAGTTTATTGGATGACTGGTTTTTTTGTTGGCTGCCTTATTCATATGTGGGTGTGGTGGTTAATAGAGGCTGCCCTCTTAGACGCAGAGTTGTGGCAACTTCGTTTCTCTTAGTGGAGAAAGATGTTTATTTTATTGGTCGGGCGTTTTGCGGTAGGGTCCGGTATGTCGTTTGCCTCCTCGTCTGCGGCATGATTTTTGTCTTCATTATGTTGTAGGGTGCTCGTGAATTTGCTGAGAATACGTTTTTCAGACTAATAATGTTTGGCTTAGCTCTGTTAGTGAGTGAGGCTTTTGTTTATATGCTTGTATTTGGAGGTTTGGTATGTTTTGTGGGGTTGGCCCTATTTTAGTATGGTTTTACGATATAGTTTCTTGGGGTTACTGCTTTTACACAATGGGTACGTTTATTCAGCAATATACTTTATGTATGGAGAGTATGTAACAATCGACGGTTCTTGCCTGTAGTGGACTCTGTAACAGAAATATTTCACGCAGTTCTGTTCACGGGGTTGTCGTATTGTTTAGTTTTTTTTGGTTCGCGTTTGTAGGGCCTCTTGAGTCTATTACAACGTAATGTGGGTAGTGTAGGACTTTGGCCGTAATGAAGGGAGGTGGCGAGTTTGCCATATCTGCGCAAATTGTAATTGATTTTCGGTTTGGTTTTTGGTTATTTCGTTTGGGCTCGTCGTATTCCTCCAGGACACGTGGGGTTCGTTTTTGGGATTCTAGTTGCGTTGTCGGAGTGCGATCATTTAGGGGCTGATATACCTAGAAACGGGGTACTGTGTCACTATGATTGGACTTGGCTGAAGTTGGAGAAAACCGACCCTCAACCTTGGTCCACTTGATGCCAAAGCCAATGGTTTTGTGGCGCTCCTCGCTTTAGGTCTATTAAAATTTGTCACATTTTGGGCCGGGTTCTGGTAGTTGTTTCTTGTGCCTGTGGCGTGTGGATCCTCAGCTAAGTTTTGGCATTTGGCTTGGAGTGATTTTCTTAGGTTTTTCTAAAAGTTGGATGTTAGAAGTAATGAGAGAGCGAGGTTCGGGTATATGATTCTCTTATGATTTAAATGTTTGGAGTTAATTATGTAAGTTGTTTTGATATTCATCGGGAGATTTAGAGATATACAGAAATTATTCCTGTGCGGAGTCCCGAACTGTATTAGGAGTCTCGAGATTTGTACTGGATGTTGCGATTACTCGGGTGATGTGTGCGCTTTGACTTGTTCATGCTTGTGCTCTTGGGCTTACACTGTTTTGCTACCGTTATTTTTGTTAAAGTGTGTGCGGCCAGTGCTAGAACTCCTCACTACTAATTTTTAATTTTTTTGTATTTCTTTGGCTTTATTAGCGTTTGACATGTTGGTGCGTATCTAGCTACATAATAGGCTGCGAAATGTTAGGAGTAGACGCTGTACGCATATGAGTTACTACCATGTATATAGGGTTTGCTGGATTCCTATTATGCGTCAGTAATTCAGATGTTCTCTGCCTTGGTATTAATAATTTCTGTAAAAGAATTGAGTAAGGAGCTCACTCTGAATTATGAGAATTTGTAATGTCTACTGCAGAGCTTCCCTATCGATCACTTGTAAGTAGAATTTATTTGGTTTATTACTTGAATCCAATTCACCAAGTTCCGTTTTTACGAAGTTGGAAGCCTATAGAGTGGGTACTTTTACCAAATCTTTAGATTTTACTTATCTTCTCATGACCCTTCCCTATGATTAACAACCTTGTTAATAAGTACTGCGGTAGATTCAATTCAATTAGTTGATTTAACGCTTTGG